GCAACCTCAGGGACAGCGGGCCAGTGCCGGGCAGGAGCGCAGCTTGGGGATGATCCAGGCTGCGGTAGCTGAGCTCGGACGGCCGCCCGCCGACCTGACTCGCCAGGGAGCCCTCGCGGAGCTCCTGGCCAAGCGCAGCTACACCGGCGAGAAGGTGTCTGTCGCACGGCTCGACATTTCTCTTTTGTCTCTGCCTGCTGGTGGGGACGGTCCTCGAGCGCTGACTACTTTGCTCGGGGATGAGGGTCCAATGGTAGTCGATGCCTTTTTAAAAGACAAAGTTTTGCCTCCATCGGAGGCGGCGGCGCGGGTGGCCGAGTCGGCCTTGAAGCGCCCATACTACGATCCTTCGCTGCAGGGGAGGCCGCGCCGGTATGCGCGACCCCTTGCGGCCCTCGACGGCGCAGGCATGCTCGAGTGGAGGCGGCATGGATCGCCGCGGGTAGGCCTGTTTACTGTTTGGAAAAAAGAACGGCAAGCAAAGATTGATTGTCGACGCGCGTTTATCCAACTTGTGTTTCGCCTCTCCTGATCCGGTCGACCTGGCCACTGGCGGATCGTTTGCGCCCCTCGAGGTTGACCCGGGGCCCCCAGTGTGCCTCGCCCAGGTCGACATCCAGGATGCCTTTTACCACCTCCTCCTCCCTCCTGAGCTCGTCCCCTTATTCTGTCTCCGCCCTGTCACGGCCGGACTCGCTGGAATCTCTGAGCTCGACGGCGCCACTGTCTCTCCGACCCAGCTCGTGTACCCGCACCTGCGTGTTGTGCCGATGGGTTGGAACCATGCTTTGTGGTGGTGCCAGCGAATTCACGAATTTCATGCCTTTCGGCAGCCCGGCGTGTCCCTTTCAAACAAGCTCTCGGATAAGAAGCCCGGGGTGCGTCTGGGCCGCTCGGGGTTTGCTCACACGGAATACGTGGACAACTTCGCGGCCATCGGGCGTCAGGCCAGTGAGGTCGATGCCGTGGCCGATTCCGTTCTAGACGCCCTGACCACCGCGGGGCTCTGCATGCATCCTCGTGAGAGCTCGGTTGGCGGGTCCGTTTTGGGTTGGGAGTTTAGTGACGAGTGCCCTCAGGTTCGTGTGAGCCCTCGCCGAGCGTGGAGGCTCCGTCTCGGCATAGAAGGGCTCCTAGAGAGGGGCTTCGCTACTGGTAGGGACCTCGAGGCCATCATTGGACATTTCACGTTTGCCGCTCGAATTCGGCCTGAGGCCCTGTGCGTGTTCTCCGCCGCGTATGCCTTCAGTCAGCGGGGGGCCGACACTCGCCGTAGGTTGTGGGCTGCCGTGCGGAGGGAGCTTCGTTGGGCAGTAGGTCTCCTCCCACTCCTCCGTCGTCGCCTCGATGCCGATTGGAGCTCGAAGGTGCGGTGTACAGACGCCTCCCCTTGGGGTCGGGGGGTTTGCTTGGCTGAGCGTGACACTCAGTCCATCGCGGAGGCTGGCCGGTGGTCGGACCGGTGGCGCTTCTCGCGGGGGGCCGAGGATCGCGTTCGGCCGAGAGACGCCTCGCTCCGGGAGGAGCTGAACTTAGCCGCGGCGGCCGGTCTGGACGACCTGGATCGTGTCGGGACGGCTCGGCACCTGGAAGCCCTCGGCGAGGCGGATCGGAGTGGGGCTGTCCCGGAGATCGGGCCCGAAATCCTTGAGGGATCCTGGACCACCGTTTCGGCCGGCCGCTGGATGCGGCGGGAGGCGATGCCCATCTTGGAAGGGCGCGCTCTGGTCTGGGGGGTCCGACATGCGAGCCGGGGTTTAAGCGAGTTTGGCAAGCGGATTTTGTTTCTGACCGACGGGATGTCCGAGGTCCTGGCCCTTGAGAAGGGCCGATCGTCGAGCGTGGCCTTAATGAGAGTGTGCAGGCAGTGGGCGGCGACGGTGTTTGCGGCCGATTTGTATCCTCGAGTTCGGTGGATTCGGTCTGAGTTGAATGTGGCCGACGAGCCTTCGCGTCGCTATCAGCCGAAGCCATTTGGGCTCAAACCTGGGCACTTTCGGCCTCCACCAGGTTTGTCCGAGCCGGATGACGACCGGCCTCCCGCGACCACTCGCAGGTGCTTTGACCCTGCCGTCTTCGGGGGATGCGGTTCTGGCGACCGGCAGCCTGGTGAGGCCAGGCGGGGCTGCGAAGCGGCGACCTGTGCAGGGCGAGCCGCTCACCCTGTCGCGAGCAGCGGCACTGTCCCAGGCTGGTCCGCGGCCGCGGCCGACCCAGAGGCAAGCCCGGGCGAAGGCATCGGCGAGACCCGCCAAGCCTCGGCCCGAGGTGCTGGCCACGAGGGGGGAGCGTGACGCTGTCCGGCAAGCGAAGTTCCCCGAGGACAAGCGCGCGACAGACGGCGAGGGCCTCTCGCTGCTCGAGAGGGAGAGCGTGGGCGACCACAACCAGCGGGTCTACCAGTCGGTGCTCGTGGAGTTCAGGGGGTTCTCCAAGACCCTGGGCCTGCGCCTCAAGGCCGCTCAGGACTACGACGGCGGCGACGCCCAGGAGGGGACAAGGCTCAAGGCGGTGCTGCTGTACTACTACCCGCGGCTCCTGTCCGTCGCCGGACTGCCCCGGTTCAGCCGAGCGCTGAAGGGGTGGAGGCGACTGGTGCCGCCTCGGAGCCGGCTGCCGCTGCCATGGGAGGTCGCCTGCGCGGTGGCAAACAAGCTCGTGGCGAACCAGGACCTGCACGCTGCCCGCCTCATCATCGTGATGTTCGTGTTCTACCTGCGCCCCGTGGAGCTGATGTCGCTGACCGGGCGGCAGGTGGCGCCGCCGGTGCGGGCGGCGGGTCACGATGCGTGGTCGCTCGTGCTGTTCCCCATGGAGGAGGAGACGCCCAGCAAGACCGGCGCCTTCAACGAGAGCGTGCTGGGCGACCTGCCGTTCTACCGCTTCATCGGCGACGTGCTGGAGCTGCTCAAGGCCAGCGTCGACGACAAGGGTCTCGTGGCCCAGGTGCGGCACGTGCAGCTGGCACAGGCGTTCCGCACGGCGGGCCAGCAGCTGGGCCTCGAGGGCCCACCAGGCCTGTACCAGCTGCGACACGGCGGAGCGTCCGCCGACCTGGCCAGCGGCCGTCGCGGCATCGCGGAGGTGAAGGCCCGCGGCCGCTGGGCCAGCGACAGCTCGGTGACGAGGTGCGGCAAGGGAGGCCGCATCGCCGACCAGCTGGCCAAGCTGCCGCAGCCGTTCCTCGACCACGCCATCGCCTGCGCCAAGAAGATTGGCGACATCCTCTGCGAGCGCTGCCGGCCTTTGCCGCCCGTGCGGGCGGGGCCGTAGCGCTCGAAGTGTTCAGCGGCTCCGGCAATCTCAGCCGAGCCTGGCGACGTCGCCAGCATGTTTTGGGCTATGCCATTTTTGAGTGGGACATCCGCTGGGGAGATGAGTATGACCTCACTCGCCAGCGGGTGCAACGCCTGGTGCGAGGATGGGTCAACAACGGGCTGATTGCTGCCATCTGGCTGGGCACCCCTTGCCACAGCTGGAGCCGTGCACGGGACATCCGACCAGGGCCCCCGCCCTTGCGGAGTGACCTGCACGTGATGGGGTTGCCCGACCTAGCGCCTCGTGACGCTGAAAAGGTCAGAGTCGGCAACGCCCTGATGAAGTTTTCAGCCTCGCTGTTTATGCTGTGCCAAGCCGTGCGCTTGCCGGTAGCAATCGAGAACCCTCACATGTCTAGAATTTGGCTGACGCCTCAATTCATAAGATTGCAAAGAACATGTCGCTCTGTCGTGTTGGATTTCTGCCAGTTCGGCCAGTCTTGCCGAAAACGCACTCGCATTATATACGATCACGTAGACCTCCAGCCGTTGCATTGCCTCTGTCGAGGCCCCCGCGGGATCTGTTCCCGCACGGGCCGTCCGCATGATCAGTTGCAGGGAAAAAATGCTGACGGCGTTTTTCGCACGCTCCTGGCCGAGGCTTATCCAGCTGATTTGTGCACTAACATCGTCCGATGCTTCCAGCTCGCGCTTGCCGAAAAGAAAGTTCAGCGAATACAGAGAATTTGGTGCGGCTGAAGCCAGTAGCGTTTTTGGAAGAAGAGTTGTTCTGTGCAAAAAAGAGTTGGTGCCCGCTTAGCTTGATGTTAAGCGTTTCCTCGAGCTCGAGTCTGTGTGATCTGTGATTGCAAAGTCGGAAGACTTGTCGACACCAGAGATAGCATCGCTTCGCACTCCTGGCGGAAAATGGGCTGGGCGTTTCATGTGTATAAGCTTGCTGATTAATGATATGCAAAAGACCGAAACACGCCGTCAACACCGATCTGTAGTTTTTCCTGGCCAACCGTCTGCCCCACCGCCGCCCTCTCCTTTTAAAGTTGCAGAACAACATGGATCAGGTGCCCGCTTAGCTTGATGTTAAGCGTTTCCTCGAGCTCGAGTCTGTCTGATCTGTGATTGCAAAGTCGGAAGACTTGTCGACACCAGAGATAGCATCGCTTCGCACTCCTGGCGGAAAATGGGCTGGGCGTTTCATCATCATCATCATCAGTATCATCATCATCATCATCATTAACATCATCATCATCATCAGCATCATCATCATCATCACCATCATCGTCATCATCGTATCTCTCTCTCTCCTTCTTGGCACCGCTGGGCATGTTGTTTTACACTCTGGGCCATAACGCGAGTTATGACCACTACCCTCCACTCCCTCCATAACGCGACGCCCTCCCTCCCCCCCTCCAGTGCGTCTCCGGCACTGTTTCAGCGCGCCCGGCATCCCAGTCTGGGGGGGCCACGTTCTGCCCCTTCCCGTCCTCTCCCCCCTCTCCTCCCCCCACGATGCCCGTCATTGGCCGTAGATCAGTGGAAACCCATGCCAAGAAGCACCCTGCATGGTCCAGGGTGCCCTGGGTTTCTTTTGGAATTCGATGGTTTTGCGATGGAAAGCGTGACGTTCCAACACCAAAAATCAATGCACGCCCTGGGGTCTCAGGCTTTGGTTTCTTATGGAAGGTTCCTTGTGGACTGGCCCCTGCTGAAAAGAATGCGCTCGAGGAGAGGCGCCGCGTGGACGTGGACCAGTACGGCCGCATCTTCTGCCCCGAGGGTGCGAAGGGGGGCCGCATAGAGCTCACGGGCATCCTCTTCGTGGCCGCCGGGAAGCCGCCGGAGCCCCCGCGCCCGCGGGACCCCGACTGGGACGACCTGAAGCTGCAGTACCAGCGGAACGAGGTGAACTTAAGTCGGGCGTGTCCTTCTACAGGAGGACTGTGCAAAAGTAGTCAGGGGATGCTGTTTTTGTATGATTTTGGATATGTTTGGCATTTTTCGGATATTATGGATTCTTCGCCCCGAATCCGCCTGTAGGGGGACATGCCCGACCTAAAGGTGAACGTGGTGAGCACCTCCTTCGAGGGTTGCGAGCTTCTCGAGCACTTTGTCCGCTGCAGCAACTACCACGAGTGGCGCTTCATAGAGTACGACTTCGGTCGCCACGCGGGGCGGAAGATGCTGCTGCCGCTGGGGCAGGTGCCCCTCCGGGGCCAGGAGAGGTGGGACCCGATGAACCTGGGCCACAGGGAGGACGGGCTCTGGAAGGACATCAAGAGCAACCTCTGCGACAAGTACGGGATCACCTCTTTCCACACGCTGCTGCACCTCTCGAACCCGATGTTCGAGCGGGTTGCGGCCGGGATCAACATGAAGAGGGAGGACAGGCAGTACTTGACCGACAAGAGGGCCAGGATGCGGCAGGAGTGGGGGATGAAGCGTCAACCGGGGCTCAATTTCAACCACCTCAAAGGCTTGGCCACAGAGATTGTCGAGCAGATGTTTCAACATTGGGACTTCAAGGCGCAGCTGCAGGGCGCGCTGCAGAGCGACTTCCGCGCTCCCTCCACCATCGAGCACCTCTTCCCCCAGAAGAAGAGCGGCAGTGACTGGTACATCAAGAAGCATGTGAAAGCATGCGACATGCCAAAGTTCGAGGAGATTCTACAGGCCTGCGCCACATCCGCCTCCTCCTCATCATCACCAGCATGAGCATCAGTATCAGAATCATTATCATCGTCATAATCATCAGCTTCATCATCAGCATCACCATCATCATCAGCAGCAGCATCATCATCATCATTATTTTCAGCATCACCATCACCATCATGATCGTCATCAGCATCTCACCACCACCATCATCAGCATCATTATCAGCACCGCCGTCACTATCTCCATATTCATCGCCATCGTCATCATCGTCGTCGTCAGAGCCGTTTGAGCTTAGGGGCTGGGGGATGCTGTTTCTGGTGGGACCTCCGAGCAGGAGCGGAAAAAAAACAAACAACGTCGGACGAGCGAAGGCCAAAAAACAAATGGAGGAGGAGGAGGACGACGACGAGGAGGAGGAGAAGGGACGAGGAAGAGGAGGAGAACGAGGAGGACAACAATGGGGAGAAGGAGGAGGGAGTAGGAGGAGGAGGAGGAGGAGGAGGAGGAGGAGGAGGAGTTGGAGGAGGAGGAGGAGGAGGAGGAGGAGGAGGAGGAGGAGGAAGGGGAAGGTGAGGGGGAGGTGAAGGAGGAGAAGAGCGCTTGCCGCAGCCGGGGGCCCAGGGGCAAGTGTAATGAATGGCCTTGTGTCGATTGTCGATCCTGGGGGGGGGGTCATCGATGTCGGCCTTTGAAAACCGTTTTCGGGCTCCCGACCCGTTGAATGTCGCATCGCCTTCGGCCCATCCCACCACAGTGCTTTTTAGTGGGTCAGAGGGCTCTTGAGTGTTCGAGGGGTCGTAAGCTTCTCGGGAGCCTGTTGGAGGCAGCTTTGAAGCCTGACAGGGGGCCTTGTCGGGCCTCTTTTGGGTCTCGTTTCGCTCTTGGACGCCTCTTGGAAGCCTCTTGTGGCGCTCTTGGGGTCTTCTGGGGCCCTCTCGAGTCGCAAGGCTGGAATTTCGGGTTCGTGGTTGGCCTCTGGGGCCCCTCTTGGAGCCACCTTGGGAGCCTCTTGGGCCGTGTTGGGGACCTCTTGGGCGCCTCTTGGGCCGTCTGGGGGCCGTCTTGGGGCGATCTTGGAGGTCTCTTGGATTGTCTTGGAGCGTCAGTACGCCGAACAGGCGAGACAGCCAAAAAACCTTCGAACACCTAAGGAAAGTTCCAGACTTTGGCCTCTTGGTGCGCTGTTGGGAAGCCTCTTGGAGGCCTCCTGCGGCGTCTTGAGGACTTCTTTGGCCGTGTGGGGGCCATGTTGAATCCTCCCATGGCGCGCTCGTGCTGGGGTCGTCCTCGGCCAAGGGGGGTCAAATTCCAGGATTGGTCCCCAGGGAGGAATTCGTTGGGGGGAGGCAATCTCACACGACTGGAAACCCACAAGGGGTCGGCGGATTAGGCAGTTCTTCTTCCTGTACGAGACCACGGGTAACAACATGACGCACTGCAGCCTGATGGGTGCCTCGGACGTGTTCACCACCACAGGCAAGTGGTACTTCCCTGACTCGCCAGAGGTGCAAAAACAGTTGTTTGAGAACATCGATTGGCTCTTCTTGCGGGGGATGTACCACTACATGTCGGAGAGGCAGACGCCCAGATTTCCCTTTATCGAGGACCTGGACGTCCAGTGCCGCACGGACTGGGAGGGTGAGCTACCGGCTGGTCAAAAGCCGCGCCCGCCCGACGACTTGCTCATAAAGAGGCCAATGCGAACAGGCGACAAGGTCCACGGGGATCCAGGTGAGATGATGAGGCGGCGAGCCCATGCCATCCACATGGTGTATCCGCAGCTGGATTATCTTGAGGTCCTGGTTTATAGCGCGTCGGGATACAATAAGGGCAAAGACATGCTGAAGTCGTCGTTTCATCTAGTCTGGCCGCAGCTGGTCGTCGACGCGGACCGGGCGCCAGTCATAAGGCACGTCACTCTGGGCCTGTTCCAAAAGGAGACGCTGCGGCAGGGGTCGTTCTTGTCACATCTGCAGAAGCGTCTCCTGCAGTTACACGAGTCGAACAATTGGGAGCTGGTGTTCGACAGCACGACGATCAACGCGCGCAATGGGCTCCGGTTGCCATATAGCGACAAAGCGTCCATGGTGATTGAAAGTGCTGAAGACCGGCAGAAGGTGAAGGAAGGTAAGCTTTCCAAGACAAAGGCGTTTAAGAAACGAGTGAAGGAGGAACGCCCCTCCAAAGCAGTGGGCAAGATTCGGTTCGAGTTCGACAAGGATCAGAAGACTGGCATGGACATCATCTCGTCAGCGGCTTGGACGAAGGACGACAAGGACTATACCATCGCGCAGTGGATTCTGATGGGGTCCTGCCGCTTAGACCCGCATCGGCCAGACCCCGTCGCGCTGACTGACTGGCAGTTAACTCAAGATGTGCTGACGATGCTGCCGACGAAGCCCGGGGAGCAGTTCTACTTCGAGGGCGAGGCCGACGGCGAGGGCGGGCACTGGGTCACGCACAAGCCGTTCCCTCAGATTCGGCGGGCCACGATGGACACGAGGGAATTCACCATCCAGTTCAATGAGGCTCGAAGAAGAAGAAGCTGCATAAGCATACACGTTCGACGGTCCGTGCGGATTTCTTGGGTCTGCGCTGGAGCCACCTGGCGGCGCCTCTGGTGCCGCCCCTGCGCAGAGTCAAGAAATCCGCGCGGACAGTCGAAAGTTTCTGCTGATGCAGTCTTTCTTCCTCTAGAGGCGCTGAGCGACGAGCAGGACGCGCTGAAGGAGGAGCAGCAGCTCGAGCTCCTGCGCCAGGTGGTTGGCTCCTGGGTATCGGTGACGGAGACCCAGGCGATATGGCGCTCCGCTTCTCTAAACCAGTGCGAGGCCAAGGTGCCAGACAGGCTGTGGGGCACGAGGCGGATCAAGAGACCCGCCGAGGTGGTCTACATCAAGAATAAGCAGAAGGTGCTCGTCGATGGGCCGTCGGAGGTGGTTGAGGCAATCATCAGAGCGCTCAAGCCATTCACGAAGCCTGACGACAATGCAGTGATGCCCATCTACGACGTGGCAAAGATTTCGTAGCGAAGCTTGGGTAGCTAGCCCGTTTCCGATGCGCCTCGGTCTGGACGGGCTGTCCGCAATGTAGTCTTCCGTGTAGGTTGCCCTGCGTTGTGCGATGGGCTTGCGTAGATAGCATTGACAGCTGCCGACTGCGTGTTGGCGATGTGCCAGGCGGGCTCCTCCCTCACCTGCTCCATCTCGCCCTGCGGATGCTCCTCCTCCTTGTCCTTCTTGTCGTTGCCGCATTGATATGTCCACTCCCTGCGTCGACTGATCCAGGCCGAGCCCTCCTTCGAGAGGTGGCCCGAGGAACAGCTGCAGTAGCCACATCTGACTCGAGCCATCCGTGGGGGGGAGGCGGAGATATGAATCTGCGGCGCGCCCAGGGGGGAAGGCAGAGGGGGCGGGCCTTCTTAGAAGGCTCTGAAGGCCTCGGGCCTTTGAGAGGTTTCTAAACAGAGAGGGCCTCTCAGAACGGCCAGAGGGCAGGAGGGCTTCTGGAAGCCCCGCTGCCTTCTGAGAAGGCCCGCCCCCCCTCCTGTTCGCCCTCGGCGCGCCGCCGACAGTTCCACCCCTGGGAGGGGGGGGGGCGGGTGTGAGAGGAGGGATGGCCAGGGACGCCATCGGTCCGCCGCGGAGGACACGAGTGCTGTGGCCTGCGGCCCCCGAGCCCACTCCCCGAGCAGACCAGTTCTTCGATCCGAGGCCGACGGCGCAGGGGAACCTCCCCGGCCCCATCCGGAGGAGGAGCGGATCGCACCGCAGCTCCGCGAAGAGGCTCCCGCTGGGAGCCGCTGCCAGGGGGGGCGTCGGGCGTGCGTCGTGCTCGACGGAGGCCTGCGGGCCGGGAGGCCCCCCCCCTGGGTGAGCACCCGGCGGCTCGGGCGGCCGAGCAGGACGGCCCAGGGCAGGGGGCCGACATCGAGCAGTTGGGCTCCGGAGATCCCTCAGGAGATGCTCGCTTGCGGGGACCTTCCCGTCTGGACGCCCGAAATGGGTACACATGGTTCATTTCGAAGTATTCGAAAGTTCTTTGATCTTTTAGGGGGCCAGATCTGTTCATTCCTAATTGTTCTATCTTGGGCCTCTTCATGGCCACTAATTAGGGGGGCAGGAGCACTTAGAAACGAGCATCATTTGAAATGAGCACGATTAGAAATGAACGACGGGTACGGAAGACATGGGCGCGATGCCCAACAGCAGATGTTGTCCAAAACTGGCAGCGGCCGCTGCTGGGCAGGCGGCCTTCTGTCTCAAACGGACAACGCCCGCGGCGGCGCGGACAGAGAGCCCGGTTCGAAATCAACGAGACGTCTTGTTGGGCATTGTGCCCACACTTCCGTACCCATGTCGATCGCCCCGATCCTAGGGCTGGCCTCACGGATCCGTTCGATCTTCCAGCTTGACGCGCGTTCCTCATTGTGAATCGGTTCGGTTCCAAGGCAGGCCGACGGATTCGTTCGGCGCAGCGTCGCGGCACGACTGGAGCGACTGGCTCGAGGAGGGCCGCCAGAACGAGCACTTGGCCCTCGCCGCGGGCCCTAGGATTAGGTCAGGCCTATCCCTCCACAGGAGGAATCTTCGAAAATAGTAGAACAAAACACGGTGGGGACGATTCTTTTTGGACAATGTTTGACCATTTGGGGTGCATTTTTGAGCTATGTTCTATTGTTCGTCCAAAATCCGCCTGTAGGGGGACATGCCCAACCTAACGGCCAGGGGGAGGCTGGCTGGGGGCCGTGGGCCTTGTTTGCGCCAGGGGCCGTGCCCGCCAGCGGCGAGGCGGAGGGCGGAGGGTGATCAGCCCGGTGCCCCTGCTGCTCAGAATGGGTGAGGGTGCCTATTCGTCCTCCTCCTTCTCCCCCTCCTCCTCCTCCTCCTGCTCCTCCTCCTCCTCCGCCTCCGCCTCCTCGTCCTCCTCCGCCTCCTCGTCCTCCTCCTTCCCTGTCCTCCCCTGTCTCATGGCGCCAACATCGCAGAGCGGATTTCGTTTGGAAAACGATGGGATGGGCCCGGGGTGTCCTGGAGAATCTCGCTTCGGATTTCGAGGTGAATTTCGTGAGGTTTTTTCTGGCCGGGAATGAAGAAAAGAAGCAATCCACGCGAATTTCACTTCGTTTTTCACTCGCCGTTCCGGGGTTTTGCATTACGCACGCACATCCATGCAACAATCCGCTGCAGCACGTCTGCAAGGTCGGTGCAGTGACCTGTCCTCCTCCTCCCCGGGCCTCCTTCACCCGTGATCCTTGTGGATAACTCTTCCCTGTCGCGCCCCTAGACGTCGGCAGGGCGGGCCCGGCGTGTCGCCCGAGACTTCCTCACCGCTTTCGACCGAGATTTCCAGCAGTTCCACGGAGGGATGGCGGGCGGCCTTTCCGAAAATGTGGCTCTCGCCTCAGCGCCGCGCACGTTCGTTCAAAGTTTGCAACATGTTCAAGGGCGGAGAGTGGGACGTTTTCAAAATGTGGTTTTCGCTGTGGCGCCGTGCACATTCGGCTTCAACGTTCGGACCAGTTTCAAGGATGGAGCGGTTCCTTTTCAAAATGCGGGTCTCGCCTCAGCGCCGCGCACATTCGTGCCAAACGTTTGCAGCAGTTTTAAATGCTCGTATGGTTGAAGCCCCAGGAATGGTCTTCTGGTACGGTTTAGGATTGTCAGGGCGCAACCGTCACGTTGATTGCTGCTCTAGCACCGTTTAGAAATGTCAGAATGCAGCAGTCAAGTTGGTCCGCGGCGCTGATGCCCCAGAAATGTTTTTTGTACGGTTGAGGCTTCTCAGACGGTTGCCTCCTAAAGGACAATTTTCTGCAGTGAAATGAATTGTTGTAGGGATCGGAATCGAACTCTGGGGGCACTGGGTTCGTCTGTTCGTGTTAGATGCCTGGGCAACCTGGCTGGATTTGCCAGTTTGTAACATTCAGATTGAAACTTGTTTTCGCCCTGAGGACCTATCAAGGAACTTCTGGGGGCCACTTGTGCAGGCAGCAGCACTGCACAGGCGGTCTGCGGCACCCTCGTTTGCCGACTGAGCTGAGGGGCCTCCCCGCACCATCACAACCACGAGAGACTATTGAAGCTGAAGGGCGGGGCGAGCCACCCCGCCCTGGACGGTGGGGACACAATGGCCACTCCCACCGTCTAGAGCTCGACTGGCTCACTTCCTACATCCAGCCTCAGACCTCTTCTAAAAAGAGAACATGCTCAAAACTTAGGTTCACGTGGGTGGGTGAGTTTTGTTCCCATAAGAAGGCTCAGCGGCCTGAGAAACACCACGGCCACTCACCCACCCCCCTTTCCCCTTCCCTCTCTTCCGCCTCTCGGGCGGCTGCAGCCTCCAACTGCTGGCTGCAACCCCTGGGTGTCGTAGCGCGGCCTCCAGCGTCACAACTCCTCGCTCTACCATCTGCAGAAGCCGATGGGAGAACTGTGCAATCTGCACACATTGGACTGCCGTCAGCCTCGGCGGCTGCGTGTGTCTTACTGCTTCACCTTGCTGCCCGTCGACGTACACTCGAGCACCTCGAGGAGGTCCTGTGCGGCCCGCTCCCGGGGGCCCTGGGAGCTGAGCCGTGCTTCTTGACGCCGCCACTCTGCACCAGCGCCGCCATTATCGCCGTCTGCACAGTGCCGAACTCCGTACGCATCGCAATCGTTACCTTCGCCAGGCCTGGTTTCCCGTCCTTGACTTTGGTTGCCTCACATTTGCAGTACATCGCTTTGCCCAACAGATCGATGGCAGTCTTGCCCTCCGCCACCACCTCCTTCGTCCAGACCTGTCAGGCACTGCTTGTTGGTTGGCTCGAGCGAAGACAAGCCGAGCATGAGGCCTGCGAAGATGTGTACGTACGGCGGCCCAAGGCGTTCTTGAGCGGCAGGGTCTCCGTTGGCCGTCTTGGTGGCCTCGTGGTGTGACTTCCCTTTGGGCCATTATCTCGACTGCGATGGGCGACTTTGCGTCGACGAGCACCGTATTCCACAGTATGCCTGTGATGTCCCTGATCTCGGCCGCGTTCGTCAAATTGAGCGTTGCGAGGACGATGAGCAACTTCTTGACTGTGCTCACGCCCTCTCCTTTGGCGAGCAGCTCTTGGATCTGCACCTTGCGAGCTGGTCCGCCTGAGCCTGAGCTGGGTTCACCTCTCTTCAGGCCCCAAGCAGGGGGCGGCGACAGCAAAGGACATTGCAACATCGATGTCGCCGTGCCGATATCAGCTCTGATAGTACTTGGAATGGTGGCCCGTGGCTCTGCAAGTGCTCTTGTAGCTGTTCAAAGGGTTGGGCCCGATATTCACAAAGATAGCGGTCGACCCGATCAGGATGCTGTCGCTTTCATATATCTCGGGCGAACAATACACTGTCCACCCCTGGCCACACTCGAGAGAAGATGTCGCTGTGCAGTCTTCACACATCCGGAGACGACAAGGCAGAAAGGGCACCCATTCATTGTAACTATTGTAGTCCACACGTCACGCTGTCCATGTTGATCCATCCTATGTTGTGTGACTGCCTTATATGTGTCAAAGCAAGCCGTGCACAATATTCCATCATCCAAGACAAACCCACATTGCCATCCTCCTCCACCTGTGTTTGTAGTAGCAGTAGTAGTGGCTTGGGTAGGCAACTGGCATGGGTGCTATTCTGGTGGCGGTACTGCTGACATATACATTCCTTTCCGCAATAGTGTAACATGTTGATTGATCAATTCCTTATTCATCTCCTCATCGGTGAACACCTGTAACCACCCCGCACGAATCCACATCCCAAGATACCCGCCCTCCCCATCAAGCCCATCTGCTCCCTCACGTAGTCCTCTCGAAATTGGAGTGCCCACGGATTTGCATATTTTTGTTCAGGTCTCTCGGGATTAGCGTCGGTTCGTCCTCAAACGAGAAGTGACCGAACATGGAGGTGATAATCTGGCCATTCCTCCACTGGTGGGCGATCATGGTCTGATGCCTCCGCAGGCGCCGCGCCCGCATCTCGACGCTCGTGGGTGCCACTCGCCAATGCTCCAGTACTTG